CTTCTGGTATATATCCCAGCTCCAGACTGCTCCGGGATAGCCGGATTATGTGTGGTAATAATTCCTCCTGTGCCTGCTGAAGCAGGGCAGGAAATATTCCATCCACACCTGGAGACTTAAACGGTTTAAAAGTGTTTACGGCCCACCTTAACCGATTTCTGCTGCATATATGCTTGGCCACTACAGCGGCCTCTCTTGGGGGTCTGCTTACCTTAGTTGTGTCCCTTATTAGAAAAGGTGTGCTTCCAGGAAAGTGAGTTTCGAGTAAGAGGCGAGCTCTTTCCTCCTCACTCTCCGTGAAGCTTCCATTTGGTTTCTTTAATGCCATAACTGTATCAACTCTCCCTTTTGCCAGGACCCTGTGCAGTCTCGCTGCCTCAGGTATAGAGTAAATATCCTCGCAGAATTTTCTAAAGCTGTTACGTTTAGCTTTCCTGATTTCTTTGTTGTAGGTAGTAAGCGCCTCGGTGTAGCTCTGCCAATCTCCGCTGTGCTTGGCCCTATTATAGAGCTTCCGCACTTCGGATCGTACGTTTGACAGATGACGGTTCCACCAAGGAGCATCCCTACTAGTCCTATTTCTTTGAATGGGGCAGCTTTATTCATATGCCTCAAGTATTGCCCCATTTAGTTCTTCGAGATCGCTTTCCAGAGCAAGTGGATGCCCCGGCTCCTTTTTTGTCTGGATACGTGCTAAATTTTGTTTTAGAATGGTGTTGTATTTGTCCCAGTCTGTTTTTCTAGGATTCCTCCTGAGGATCGTCTCAGGAATGTCGCTCTCTAACGTAAACACAATTATCTTGTGATCAGATAGAGATGGTTCACTCGATACCCTCCAGTTTTTAACTAGATCTTTAATGCTCGGTGTGCTTAATGTGGTGTCTAATACCTCACTTCTTGCCCTTGTTACAAATGTTGGAGTATTCCCAATATTTTGCACAATAAGGTTCTTATTAAAAATATATTCTAAAAGTTGCTCACCTCTTTGATTGGTGTCGTTGCTTCCCCATACAGTGCTGTGCGCGTTGGCGTCGCATCCAAGAAGTAATGGCAGATGTCTTCTCTGGCAGTACTCCACTAGCCTCGATACTTCCGGGGGTGGTACATGCCCATCTCCAGCGAAGTAACTAGAAGCTATTACTATGTCTTGCCGCCTCATCCCTAATTCCAGGTATGCTCGAATTGGAACGAGATCACGCGTCATGAATTCTGAAAGACAAGAATATTTAATATTACTTCTTACCATTATGCATGTTCTGGGTACTTCATCACTATTGTGATAAATTACCCTTGCATCCTTACATGCAAGTCCTCTTACCTGGTTTCCATAGACCCACGGTTCCTGGATCAATACGATCCCTAATTGATCTTAAATGAATGTCCTAGATATCACAGCCGAGGCTCCCTTGGCGTGATGGACATTCACTTGGGCTATGTTGATGCCCGCCATTTTTCTCTCCTTTAATGGGGGGTGTTGTCCCCATCGGTGAGGGTGCGTTCCATATCCCCCTCTTCTGCTTCTTCATCAATTTCTACATCCTCAGATGAGTCTACGCAGAGATTTGAGAGGTTAAGGCTCTCTATGCTCTCCACATCAGTCTCATCTTTGGAAGTACTAGGAGTTGGTTCTGTTGTTCCTCCCAGTTCCTTTAATTCTTCTTTCTTTTGAAGGCCGTGTACGGGGATTTTCCCGAATCGATAGTGGATAGTACATCCACTATCCTTGATCCGTTGGCAGGATAGGTCATCTATTCCTAACCTAAGGATCTGGCCTTTGCCCTCGTCTTTTTGACTGACGATTTTCCACAGTGTGGTCGATAGCCCCACATTCTGCACTTCTATTAACTGTAGAAGCTTCTCTACAGGCTTCCCTTGACTTCTTGGGAGAAAGAGCGTGGCTGTATGTGCTTTCGGGATGTCATCTGCCGCACATACCTCCAACTCCACTCCCTTCCAGTTGCTCAGGTGTGGTATTTTTGCCCTGAGCCATTCTGCTGACTGTGGGGTTTCACAGTCGATCAAGACCATTCCTGGCCGGAAGTGGATGCCTCCGAATTGGAGCTTATGCTCCCATCCAGCGAACATCTCTTCTACCAGGGCTTCTTCCACCAAGGTTTGTTCGTTCGCACTGAGGATGGTCTCAGGTAGGTAGGATCGCGACCCGCTCCGTCTTCACGACAGTTGCATAACTGCCCGAAGCGGAAGTATCGGCCACTTTCCTTTTCTTTTCTTTCCTTTGCGGTGGTGTAATGTTATTCCCGTCCCGCTTTCTTTTCCGATCCTTGGTTTTACTTCCCTCTCCCTGGGATCTGTGCTCTACGGCTTTCTTTTTTGCTTCCTCCGGTGTCATGCCCTGAGCGAGGTAGCGAAGATACCACCGAACCCCTGCCCCACTGAGTCCATGCCTCAGTGGGTTGTCCCTTCCACCAGGTTGTCCCAGTGGAGGTAGGGAAGGTAGCTTCCGTTTGGATTCTTTCTTGAGGGGAGCTTCCCTCGCTGATGAGTGGTGAGAGGGGGATGGAGAAGATGGAGCGATGGTGCTCCTCTTCTCTTCTCCCTTCACCTCTTTCTTTTGTTCTCCCACTTCTCTCTTGTGAGGTTGTCTCACTTGAGAGGTTGAGGGAGGTTGATCGCTTCGGATGGCAGGCTCCGTTTGATCAGATTTGGTGGCGGTGTAGTCTCGCCGGGGTTTGCTAAATTTGGTTTTCTTGCCCATGTAAATCCCACGAACAGCTAGGGAAATAAAAGTCGACCGACGCAGAGCCCCGCATGCGCCGGCAAGGCTAGATACAAGAGGGTTTCGCCAGGTTCCCTCAGATATATAACAGATATATTCCATAAAATATAAAAACGGCTTCCCATAAAGTACTCTCCCAAATGTTCCGCCTTCGTCCAAAATCTAATCATTTCACCTCAGGCCGAAATAAAACTTAAGTTTAAAATTTAATGTTTTTTCCTTTGTCCCTTTTTGAGTTTTCTTCAAAATTCGAAATTTACACATTTTCTTAAATATCTCGAATACGGTTCATTTTAGAGAAATTATGTATGGAATAAAAATTATATAGAATTATCTTACAAACAACTTTTATTTGATCAATTTTTATAAAAATACATTTTTTTTACATTTTGTCAAATTTCTCGAATACGGACCATTTTAGAAAATTTTTATATAGAATAAAAATTATAGATAATTATATTGTAAGTAACTTTTATTTGAAGAATTTTCTTCTCTAAACGTAAATAATGGATATATTCCATAAAATATAAAAATGACCACCAATAAAGTACCCCCTCCCCAAATGCTCCGACTCTGCCCAAAATCTAATCAGTTCACCGCAGGCCGGAATAAAGCTTAAGTTTAAAATTTTGTGTTTTTCTTTGTATCGGTTCATGAGTTATAGTGGATACAGACACACACACAGACATCATCCCAAAAATATTCAAAACGTAAAAATCCGTCGAAAACTGGAGGTCGAAAAAATCATGATTCCTATACTTTTCTTATATCTGTATACAGATAGGAAAGAAAAAATGACAAAATGAAAAATATTCGCCAGTATTGCCTCCTCTAGCGTTTATTACTGTTTGACAACGATCTGTTATACTAAGAATTACCGTTCTTATTTGATCTTGATCAATTTGATCCCAAATTTCAACCAATCGCAAAAACAGTTGATCTAATGTGTTTGGTGAGTTAGGTAGTTGTCGTAGTCGTCTTCCTACGATGTTCCAAACGTGTTCTATCGGGTTGAGGTCAGAACTTCTCGCAGGCCAAACCATGGCAGGAATCCCAACCTCCTGACGATATTGTTGCACAATTCTTGCAACATGTGGCCTTGCATTATCATGCATAAGCATGAAATTCTCCCCAATAAATGGTGCAAATGGCAAGACAAGCTCTTCTAAAATGTCTGTAATATACCTTTGTGCTATAAGCCGCCCTCTATCTATCCTAACTAACGCCGTACGAGCCTCCAAATTAATCCCACTTCCACACTATTACTGAGCCGCCACCATACTGTACACTCCCTATAATGACTGTGCGTAGCGTTCCCCAGGCCTTCTGTATACTCTGTTCCGCCGGTCGTCAGAAAAAAGAGAGCACCTGGATTCATCGGTGAACAATATTCTTCCCCAATCTTCATTATTCCAAACAACATGTTCACGAGCAAAATCCAATCTTTGCCCTCTATGCTCTCTGGTCAAGCAAGCATGGGCTAGTAAGTGCCCTTACAGGGCGCAGGTTATCTGCGATTCTAATACAATCTGATTCTGACAAATTTCGATCTTCTTGAAAAAAACGCCTTGGAAAATTTAGCCAAACGTATTCAAACCAAACTAAATTGGAATTAAAATGAAGAACTGTTTTTAATTTTCTTCCAAAAAATGATACAAACTATCAGCGTTTTTGCAGTTCTAGCGATAAATCTTTACAATATACCGGAAGTAAAAATTATATGTATATTATCACAAAAATCGAAACATTAAAATTATTTATCACGATTTTTAAAATAATGCGTTAATTTTGGTGCGCAGTCTAGTAGCTATGTAAGGTACCTATCGTAGGTTAAAAGGGATGTGGGCGTTCAGTGGGCATTTAAATTATTGAACTCACTCATTCTAATTGGTTTTTATAAAGACCGAAAGGTTAGAACTTTGTCGAACTACGAACTAGTAAAACAAAAACAAAGGAAAAATAAAACAAATATAGAGTTTGTAAGAATGATTCATGAACACCACTCGTCTATCAGATCAAGCGCTGCCATGTCTTCCATAGACCATACCCTTTCTGTTTTCAGTGTCTTCTCTCTTCATTACAGCGTTGTCGGGTTGTATTGCGGAGTTGGGTAGTCTTAAATCTATTGCAATTTTAGTAAACACTGTTATTTACTACCTATATTTGTTCATTTTTGTGACTCGTTAGGTATTTCGAAATAGTTATTTTATCCAGTGTTTCACGGTTATATTTGCTTCTTACGTTTAAAATTTAAAATTTTTAGGTGTACTTCAAACACATAAATGGGAAAACGCTATGACCATTGACAAGCGTACATGGGGCTACAGAAGAAATGCAAAAATAGAACAATTCTATACCATAGAAGAGTTAATTAAAGAATTAGTAACCACTGTTAGTTGCGGAGGTAAATATTAACACTAATAATAAAAATTAAGCCTGCAAATGAGTACCAAGATACAAAAAAGAAACGCCAATCAATGTTATTTTTTTTATAGGTAACTTATTGATGAACATTGGCCCAACAAAAGAGGGGACCATTATTCCAATTTATCAAGAACGCTTATTACAAATGGGCAAATGGTTGTCAGTAAACGGTGAAGGGATTTTCGGAACGAAACCATGGATCGCCCAGAATGATTCTTTGGCTGGTGATGTATGGTACACTTGCAAAGGGTTTGCTGTTTATGCTACTGCATTAAAATGGCCTAGAGGAAATGTGTTGTCACTGGTATCAGTTAGTGACATATTTAAAGATTCCAACACAAAGGTGACCTTAGTTGGAAATGAACAAACTGGATATTTAGCGGTAATTTAATAGTATAATAAGTATGGAAAGTGTAACACGAGTTGAAATTTAGCACAAGCCGCGTAGCGGCGGGTGCGGAAACTAAACGAGTGTGAAAAATACACTTTATATAGCGAGTTGTGTACACTATTTTTCTTACGACCATGCCAAAAATCCTTCAAAAAAACGTAATTTTCATATAAAAAAGTCAATTAAACAATATCACACATGTACAATAATACAAATGTACTGAAAATCATATCACATATGTATTGAAAAGTATTTGGTTTCATTTATTTATTTTTTATTTACATTTGCACTTATCAAGTCTAGTTAACTTTTTTCCCTCTAATTTAGTTATTTCGACTTGCTATACATATTTGCTTTAAAATAAATTTTTACAATTTAAAAATAAAAATTTATTTCTTTTACAGTGGAAGGTAGCCAGCGGTATTGTAAATATTAAATTTCCAGATAAATCAATAGTTATCAGTCAATGGGCATATGTATTAAAAATAAGAAGTTCAAGGAATCAAGAACTGAAAGATCCTATTGATATTCATATACATTAATAATTATGTTTTGTTAAATTACTTTTAATTACACTTTTTTGATAAATCAGTTTTTTAACAATTTTCTTTTATTGAAAATGAAGAGTAGTGGGTGCATGATACTGTCTACGATCTCGCACCATTCTGCCTTAAGGACCTCGATAGTTTTCTTTCAAAAAAATACTTCTAAAAGTTTTACTCCAACCAATCGAGTTTAGGTAGGAGACCTTTTTTTGTAGTGTAGAACTTTTTAAATAATCTGATTTAATAGAGGCGAAAAAATTTATAAAATACCCTGTATATGTATAGTAGTATAGTTATAATACTATTTATCATAAATGTTTTTAAATTAAATGATATCAAGTAGAATAATACTTGATTAAAAAAATAAAATAAAAACGAAAGTGACCAAACTAGGATGAATATTAAAAGAATAAAAATCGCAGCAATCCATGTCTTCCTCTAGGAGACCATAAGGCAATTCAATTTGCCGGTCCCTTGGCCACCATCAGCGGCGGCATCAGCACCGACCCAGTTGCCTCTTCCTCCTCCTCATTAGACGCTCCATTACACTACGGAAACGGAAACAACTTCCATAAATGGTCGACTTGAAAAATGGATTCATGATAATGTGGGGATCGTTCGATTCCGATTCCCCTTCGATTTTTATGTCACACCTAACGAGATGGCGAGAAACGGGACAAAGGAGAATATAGATCAGATTTGGTCTACAATAGCTATAATACTATCTCGTCCAATTTAAATTTATCTACTATTGCATTGAACAAAACACTAATAAAAGATCAAATATATATATTTTTATACTGTTTATTAATAGGTTGAATTTTAGCTTGAATAAAAGTAACACATCATGAAATTGCAATTCCGTAAATTAATTCAATTAAGGCGAGCTTCTCCTCTTTTCTCTCTCATAGTAGGTAAATACCACAACGAAAAAATAGGAAGGGACATGTAAGTTACGATTTGAATAATAGCGTGCGTATATTTTTGCTTAGTAGTTAAACGGGTCCTGGGAGCCCCAGAAACCACATTACATTGACGCATCATCTGAAATTAGTTTCATATAACGTTACATATAATGTAATACTGTAATAAATAATGTCTGTATTGTAAAAATATTAAAAGTTAAAACATACCTTGGCAAAAACCTTTAAAAGTTTAGTTTTCTTTCGAAATGTTTTTAAATACTGTCAAATTGACTGATTATTTTGAGCACCTACTCTTCTAATGCACAAACTATCGAGTTAGTAAGAAGAGGAGATGACATACCATACATAAGTCGTTTTCCTTTGACGGATGGTTCTGGTCTTAGAACATATATAGTCAGGAAGGAGCATGTCATGTCCGCGTTAATCTAATCGATCTGACGGAAGTGGTAGACACGTTATACTATGAGGTTTGTTCCAACAGCGAATATGATCATCAGAAGGACGTCAGACGCACGCGCATTGAAAATAGTCCGTTCCTACAGAGCCACGGATGATCCGATGAACTGTCAGTAAAACGTTCCAACGTATTTTCTGATTCGTACATGAATGAGTCGGCGGATTGTCAAAACGATCAGAGCTTCATCGCTTGTACAATTTATCAGCACATGCGCATTTGAACATCTCTTCTCGTTCGTGATATTTTTTTGTAATTGTTGGGATTTTAAGTTAGCTTGGAGTGGCTTGGGTTTCTATTGCTTTTAATTGAAATGAATAATTTTTGTTCTTATCTTGTGTGCGGATTTTTTTTGTAAAATGCGTACTTATTTTTAATAAAAATAAACAATCTTAATGTTTCAAAATTATACATTCACATAGAGCGTTAGAGACAGCTAAATAAATGTATGTTGTTGTATTTTAAATAATTTTAAAATACCAATTGACCAAACATATGGTTTGGTTTGTCAAATTCCATTGCATTTTGCGTTCCAACAAGGACAAGTCGCTGATTAAACAACGGACGAATAAATGGGCTGACATGCGCAGTGATTAGTTTACGAATGCATCCATGCACGAGTCAGAGACACATCAGAAAGGCGCTGTTGGAACAAACCTATTGATAACTCATCATCATATAATAAATGGTTTCTAAAATTGGTTTATAATTTTAGTGATTAAAATTTGTTAATAATTTGGATGTTTTATGTGTTATTTTAAAGTTTTATCAAGCCTATGTTTTGTAGACATTTTTAAAAGATGTTTAGTGTTTTAGTATTAATTTAGTATTACTGTTAATTTTAAAGTTTCCGCTTTAAAAGACAAACAAGACAATATGGTCAGTTGTTCGTCTTGTGGATATAGCAGAACAGCTAAAAGTAGAAAGGAATAATCTACATTTCAGGAGCAAGTATTTTGTTCTCTCAATTTTCAACCACATTAGAGATTTTTAAAATTTTTAATGTTTTAAATTTGTAAACAAACATGGTAAGTGCGTCTGCGATCAACTGTGCTCATAGGTGTAGTATCATGGTTTATAGGTATACACACTTTTATTTAAACAATTCTTTTATGCAGTTTTAAGATATTTATGTGGTTGTTAAAATAAATAAATTATTGTTCAATTTAGATTTATAAATTGATTGCAAGTAAACAATTTCTGATTTCTTAAAGATTCTAGATTTACAAATTATATAAATTAATCCCAGGTAAACAATTTTCAGATTTCCTGAAGATTCTCAAAAAACAAAGTTAGGGCTTGAGTTCATGCAACAAACAAATTGTGAGCCAAAATATCTTAATTTTTTGTGTTTTAAAGCAGATTGTTTTGATCGAACCTTAAAACCAAGAATAAGACTTCTATCAACAGCTGTTCCATCAATAAAAGTGATCCGGTTGAATTATATAAGTAAATAAATTCTTTACTAACTATATCATGTGACGTTTTTTTTTTTTTTCATATAATAGAAGTTTATTGTATGAATGTGATTTACCCTATATAATTTATTACAAAGTTATTTACAAAAACGAACACAAATAGAATTAATAATATCTCAAGTAAAGAAATAAGTAGCATATCGCATGCCTCAAGATACTTATTAATGGAAATAGACCTTAATTATAGAAACTTACAAACCTTTGATTAAACTCATGTTGTTCCATTATACAATTACAAAAAGATGGCCTCTTCTTATAAAAACAATAAAAGGTAACGTTCAGTAGTTTAGAGTACAAATTGACTTTCATCATAACTGGAATTCACATAATATGATGGCATGAAAGTAAAATGGTAATTTAAAGGAACAATGAGCAGTTTTTTGTTTATATGTAAGTATAGGGGTAAAGTACATTAGTCAATGCATATTTTCATATTAGCTAATAATATTTTATCTAAAAATTTTACATTTTTAACTATCACTTTTGCCTGATCAGGCGTTTATTAAACGATTGATTTAAGATTCAATATTCGTATAAAATGTAATGTCTTTTTTTAACTGCTGCTGAGAGTGACAATGGTGCTGCTTAAAAAGTAAGCGAAATAGCCTTAAGAAAATGGCTGAGAAGGTCAACAGAATGGAGTGCGTATAAAACTAATACATGCTTGATATTATTTATGACAATAAAAATAAGTCAATAGTTGCAATTATTTTATTTTATATTAATATAGGTGGTGATGTACATCAGATGTCCATAAATTGTCCAAAAGCAATACAAAAAGAGTCCATATATGGACCTTTCATGGAGTCCAAACAGACGTCCAGGAGAGTGGGACATTTGTATAGTCCAGTGGATGTCCATTGGATGTCCTTTGGTAAAATGCTGGACGTCCTTTGGACACCCGATATGTCCATGAATGGACTTCCGATGGACATCCAATGGATTGAATTGTGCTGTCTGGGTTTCAGCGCCATCTAGTAGTAAATCATATAATATATTAGTAAGGACCGATTTCACCGTTGTGTTAAAAGAAGTTTAAAATGACATTTTTACATTTAACAATGTCATTTTAATTTGAGAAAATAAAATACGAAGATTCTAACATATCCTGACAAAGATGCTGAGTTTGAGCTTCAATTCGACTGATATAGATACTTCTTACAATTATTTTTATTACGTTTTACCGCCAATTTGTTTTTACTTTTTTTTTATAGAAGAGGTACTGTTAAAAATTTTATAAATTCAGAGTCATTTGTTAATTTTTACTAAATAATATAGGAATTAAATATATTTCTTGTTCTTAATTATTGTTCTTATGTACTATAATAATTTAAGCGTCCGTACTATAACAACTTCCAATACAGTTTGGCAACGTTGAGGACAACAACGAATCAACGAAATAAGTTAAAGATTATTGTCTGATGGACTGATGGACATGGCCCAAAAATAGAGAAGAAGAAGATTGACGATTTTTTTAGGTTAAGTTTTATGTTTTGGTTATTAATAAAAATTGAATATTATATATTATATTAAAGGGATAATGGTTTTGTTAGAAAATCGTGCATTATTATTGAAAACTCAAAACGAGAATTCAATTGATCATTACGAAATATTATTAAGGTCTAACCAAATAGAGGTTAAAGTAATTAAAACTTTAGTTTTTGAATACAAAAATATTGAAATCTTAGCAGAAAAACTAAGTAGAAGTGAAGAATATTCCGGCATTATATTTTCCAGTCCACGTTGTGTTCAAGCTGTAAAATTAGCAAATCAGAAAACTAATGCAGATCTAAGTTTGTGGGTGTCAAAAAACAATTTTGCCGTTGGAGAAGCAACTGGTCGAGAAGCATATCAAACACTACATTTGGAATGTACAGGACAACATTCCGGAGCAGCTGTCAATCTCGTGAAAGATATAGTGAGAGGTAAGTTCTATTACAACTAAACAAAGCTCACTTAACGTATTAAATTTTCAGCAGTGCGATTCTCATCTTTCAACACGTTTTGTATTGACAAACAAACTGTAATTCTTATGTAATGTCTCTTTTTATATTTGATACGTAATGTGTTGAGTTCACACATAAGAATCCCTGTGCAAGAGTAGTTACAGTCTGTAATTTAATAATTTAACCAACTTACCTCTCATTTTGTAAGAATAACTTTGTATAGCCAAGTAATACCACTATTAGATCTGGGGCC